AATTCTCTTCAAAGTCTAAACGTTCCTAACTCCGACTTTACCCTTGTCGAACAAGGATTTATATTTCCAACAACGAGGCTGTCTTCTTACAACAGGCGAGGGGGGAACCCTGATGAACCTCGGGGATCGTGAACGGAAGGAATGCAACGGCGAAAGTTAGGGATGTCGCGGTGAAAGGATGGGGGACAATAAAACAGGCAGACAGACATGCGGACGGAACCGACAGATAGACAGGGGGCGAGAAAGACGGAATACCGTGGCTCCTGGTAATCGATTCCGGTGTGCTTCCAACTTGGAAGGAGAACAGGACGACGAACGGAAGGAAGACGAGGTGAACGAAAATCGGGCTAGGAAGAAGATCTATTTAAGGCGCCATTTAATTTTCCTTCATGAATCATTTAGAGTATTCTTCTACCCTCTACTGTTCCTGCTACTGCCCGTTCTCTTTCGTTTGCTCCCGATTCGCCGGTGGCGGCGGGCTGAGCGGCAAGTTTTCCTCCCTCATTACACGGGTAATATATGTATATCCGTCTATCGTTTAAATATTCACGAGGGTTCCGGTGTCAGGAAGATTCGCAAGGCAGATACGGGAATCCTATGAACCTGCTGCCCCTTTCTGCCATTCTACGCCCTTTCGTCTCCGTCCTTTTTTACCCATCCTCCTCTCATCTTCGTGTCCGCTCTTGTATGTACAACGGCTTCCCCGCTTCCGTATCCGATGAGACTGACTTCAGATTCGAGGAACAGCTAAGGGGATGAAAGAGAAGCGCGAGTGCCGTGCTCCCTTTTGTGGGTGCTCGTCTTTCCCCTCGTCTCTCGCATTTTGGGATCGCATCAAGTGTTACCTACCGGTTTCTTGCGAGATGTAATAGCTGTATCGATGCTGGTTCATTCATAGTTCGCGAGATAAAAATATAGAAACCTTATTGAACTAGAGTTGAAGAATAGACTCGATCGAAACATCTTTTCTTTTTATGGATACCGAACAGCTATTTGAGGACGATACCTATAACGAACTGATAACTTCAAGCTTCCCAATAAAGTTAATAGAATTTGTAAATTGTGATAAAAATGAAAATGAAAAGATTGGAATTTCAAAATTATTTCCAAGTTCGTATCTGTAGCCTGTATCTTGTTTAGTTGATTAAACGAAAATGATGCTTTAAAACAGTGAGTATCATTTCCAAAGATTTAGAAAGATCTTCTTATCGAATTATTAATTTCGAAATTGCCCTATAACCGACCGACAATCTACTGGCAGCCTTTCAATTCCAGCCGTATAATAGAAACGACCACGAATGTTGACAGTGTGTAATATACTTTTCATGGACTTGTGCGGTTTAGATAATGGCCGTTGGACCATGTCTGTTATCGTGAAACGAATTATGAGCGGCCGGATAAGCATGACTTGGATCGTGACGACGCGTATCCCCCGATATAATGGCACTTTAGTTGCGTCAGACGTTCGTATTAAGTTTACGATTCGCCGTGCGTCAAATATGGATTTTGGTGCGTGCAAAACGTACGAATAATTCACCGAGCAATAAAATGTTACCGGCATACGCCGTTCCGAATATTAATTACGTGAATAGAACTACAATTACTCAGGTTGGCACTGCGGGACCACGGAGCACGTCGCGCTTCGTTATCAGTATCGATAATTTTAATGAGCGTGTAATTAACTAACGATACTCCCGTTCATAGGTCAGGAGGTTTTCGTATTAGACTTTCTCTAAATACGGTTAGTTTCGAATAAGCCAGAGAGTTAATAGAGTTTTACGCGTTTTTAAATGTCGATATTCACGTGTTTTTGAGGGAGTTTACCGCGAACAAATGGAAAATTAACGAACTGAAATGAACAAATGGAAAATCGAGAGTAGTTGGAATGATCCGGATTTTTGGACAGTCCACGTAGATCGCCCAGTTTACAAAAACTCTTCCAGACTAAACCATATTACTCGGTTCGATCGCACGGTTGGGTAATTATACCAAAACATCGTTCGCTATTTCGTTTCGGTGCACCATGCAAAAATACGTTACCGTTCTTTATTCCGTTTCGTGCTACTGGTATGCGCCGATTATTCCCTTCCCTTTCCATTCACGTTTTCACGCTCGCATGCAGCGTGTCTGGTGGATGGAAGATTGTTCCCGCGTCGACTTGTCTAACGTGGGAAACAACGATCGGCCACATTTTTTAATTAGCGGTCACAATAACGTCGAGCGCACAGTAACGCGATTTTTATACGCTTCCATTTACATGTTTCGTGACGTGAAAATAAGTAGGATTATATTTGTGATACAGTGAACTTTTAAATTAATACATTAAGTAGCGCAGTAATTTTTAGTACCGCATAAAATATTTCAGATTTGTCGATAAAAAGTGAAAACTAAAATATTCACTGCCACATAAGGTATTTTTCGATAATTTCGATATCGAAAGATACATCCATATAGCCCGCAATTTTTCAACAAGAAACTAAATCGGACACGAATGGATTTTAATGACATTATTCCGCGAACTTGATTTATATACGGCGAGGGAGGGAACGATTGTTGTTACGTTTTCTCGTAAACGAGTCTACCAAGATTATTTTCACGAAAATTAAACCATGTTTTTGCGTTACAGCGAACGAGGGGTGTCTCTTGTTATCGAATGCCTACGGGCAAAAAGTTTGCCGCCTCGTTTTACAACATCAATAATCGAGGGGCTTATAACACGCGCCATCGACGAGTCGTGTTGAAAATTGCCGTGTCTCGAACTTTCTCACCATTGGAGCGACCGTTTTTTCGCATCTACAGGAAAGAAGTCCCCTCCCTTTTAGTAGTAAGAAACAGAGATTCTGGTCCAAAAGCAGTATGCCGAGTACCCGAAAACTTTGAAAAGTAGACGGTAACTTGTGCCTTCTTGTCAGGGGTCATTGGGTGGATCGTCCTCAGCCTCGCGGAAATACATTGTTTCTAACTGATATCACGACTCCGTGCTCCGAAACATTGCCCTTCCTCTCGTCAGTCGGCAGTGGAATTTTATAAAACAAAGATTTGCGATTATTTCAATTCTAAAGGAATTCTCCGAACAAAGAGATTCTTTCGAAACAGCGAGTTGCAAACTATTCTTCTCTAACGGATATGAGATGACTTCTTTCCAAGTTTATTAAAAGATATCTCGCGAAGATACGAGCAACCTTCATAAATATTAAACACGATCGTAATCACGCCGTGTTTACACTGAATTATTTCGTCAGAATGAAAAGACGTTGTAACAGTTGTTAGACCACTTAAGATCTCAACTCACGCGAACGCGTACAGGTCCCTGTGGTACACCTTAACCATATGCAAGTACTCGAAAGACCGTTTACGCTTTTATTGCTCTGGCCCTATTGTTCAGGGCAAGTTGGTCGCGACACTTTGAACACCCAGTACAGTAGCACTCATGCATATGGAAGTTCTCGGTGACACGTCTGCATCCTGCCATGCAGGCCGTGGCCAGTATCAGAAGTGTGAGATAGCTCTTCCTGTGCGACTCTCCGGCCGACTCTGTTGGCTTTATCGCGGCTCTATTAATTACCACGATCTGCCATAAATTCAGAGTAATAGTTAGGATTTACTCGAGACAGCGGCCAGGTTAAACGATCACATTAAATGCACATAGTTGCTGGAAATAAGGGACTTCTGTCAGGTAATTACGAGGGACAAACGGCGCAGTATTTCAGGAAAGACTTCCTTTCGCTGTCTTTAATCTTTCGTGGCTTAATCGCGGTATTACGTTCACGGTGCAACTTCTACACCACCGTGCCACTTTTTCATTTTGTTTTATCCAGTATCGTATTGTTCCTTTGAGATTTGGTAGACTTAACGTCAAGGGGATTGAACTCTCCAATCGAGTTGCTCGTAGGATCTTCCCTTGTAAATACTTAAGACTCGTGGCTTCCTGCGATGGCGGCTTAGAAGCCGTTGTAGTTTCAACCTTAATCATGTCCTAATGTAAAAACCAGTTAGAACTTGGTAGACGGACAGTAAGAAGATCGAAGTTTAAATACTGAGTAGCAGTCTATTTTTTGATGGCAGAGAAAAATTCGCGAATGATTTCTATCTAAGGCATAGGTTAGAGTAGACTTGTGTATTCCACTTTTAACCAACGCCGTGAACTCTTCGTGCTTTGTTTCGTCTCCCTAAATTCTCACACTCAGGCAAGCACGTCTTATCCGGAGGAAGAACAAGTGTCTCCCTGAACGCTTTATGCTTCGAGACAAAACGCTTTTGAAAAGTTTACATGATGGTCCTTGTCAGCCCTTGTCGCGCTCGCAGTCACGAAGGGATGATATCAGTAGTCCGTGGAAGCCGATTACTCAGGTTCACCCTGTGTATTATCTGCGTGAGAGATACCTAAGGCGATGACGGGCTTTTGTATTTGCCACTCATCGCGATGTTGTATATGCCATTGAAATTCCATGAGATGGAGAACTGGTGTATTGTTAACATTGTCCACTTAATAGCCATAGAAGTTCCATGTCGTAGGTGAGAAGGAATCTCGAATGTGCCGAGCATTTCTCCTATATTATACAGCGTAGATACGGTAGCGATATTCCTTCGAAGATGCAGAAATAGAACTGTCCTTAATACGCTTGTCTGACATGGCCTGTTCGTTTCTACCAGCGTTCGTTTCAGGTGGTATGGATCACGAATCGTATATATTTGCCGAGAGGGAAGGATGAAGGGAGAAAAAAAGGAAGATGGAGTAACCGAGTGGATAGGAAAGATAGAAGGAAATAGGAGAAGCTTGAGCAAATGTTTTCAATACGTTGCATAAATCGTGTACCTCTTCGTAAATTGAAATGGAAATGCATATAACTGTACGGGTATGGAAGCGGCTTTATTGTTCCATTCTTATTCTAGTGATGTATCTATGATGCCTCTCCTTCTTTATATCGCGGACCAGAGCAGTATCATATCGATTTGAAATGAGAATTTCTTTTAACTTGGACCGTTCTTTTTCCTTACAGATGTCATCGTCCCAGAGACAGTCTGTTCTCCTGGAGCTCGGGCTTCGGCAACTTCACGGGATTCGTCAACTGGGGCTTCCTGTTGTTGGGCATCGGCGGAATCCGATTGCTCCTCGAAAATTTCATAAAGTGAGTGTATACCGAGAATCTTGATAAAACCACCACATTATCAAATGTATCGTGGACGACACGTGATCGGATTCGTTGAGAATTTTAGACTTCATACTATACCGGACGCAGTACTGCCCTGTAATATCATAGAGACAGTAATTTATAGGATTTACGATGGATAAAAAGAGCAAGAAGAATGCGGAAGATTCTCGAAAATCTCGACGTTCAATTATTTGTAGCAATTTACGTGGCGCGTAGTCGCGAGCGTAATTTATCAAAGAAACCAGTGTCATTTCGTGACACTGATGTCTTTATCCTCTGCAAAGATACCTGAAGCTTGAGCGTTCGATATGTCCCCGGGGTATTTTTTCGAATGTACGTGCGAGATGGATTATCGAAGCGTAGACCTCTCGATCACACCACTGGTCAAGGGATGGGGCGTGAAAAACACGAAGGAAAGCCCCTAAATGCGAAAGGTTTCGCTCGAGCCTCGAATAATACCATAAAGGGGGAAATATCCCTGGGAACGACAACTTCATCAAGCTGTCACGGAGACCAGGGAAAGAGACAAGGACGAAAAATAAATTACGAAAGAAAAAATATCAAATTAAATTTTAATTAAACAGCATGGCAGCTTTGAACGACGGATAAATTTTAGTTAATCAGCGAACTGACGAAGTAAAGCTTGAGATACGTTGGGAGGATTTTCCCAAGCTTTTTTTTTCACCTGAAATTCGTCCGGTATGGTAGAAACAAAAAGGGGATCAATCAAGTCAATAGTGAAAAATGAGATTTCCCTTGTCATTCGGACACAATGTAGAATTTCTGGCTGGATCTATTGATGTCATTCTTGTCGAAAATCAAAGTCTTCGTGGCAGTCTAACCTATTTCGATAACTACATCATTATCGATGGTCCCGATAAAACCTTTGCACCGCTATAAAGATTATTACCAGAGATACACGTATGGGCGCATTAATTAACACGTGAAAAGGCGAATATAATTTAGCCACGCTAATATGTCAATAACATTGCCAATAAATGCACTTCTATATTTCACAGAATCTATGTATTTACGAGCTGGTTGAATCTCGATTGAATTATCGGATCTATTTTCGCTAAATTCGCTATATCTGAATGTATCTTGCGAAATGTAGATATTTGCCGCAAGGACAGATCTGTCTAAAATTTAATTAATTTATGAACGGCGTAAATGAGATTCTTTCGTTGCCGGGTTGATTAAAATTAACAGCGTGTCGCGAGTCTGATCTCGAACGAAAGATTTCGCCGCGCGAGAGACACAACCTACCTCCTCCTGCTCCTCCTTTACCAATTTTCTGGCCGTTGAATGGAGAAGGGCGAAGTACAAGCTCGGCCCATGAATAATTTCAACGAGATTTTTATCGCCGTTGTAAACTCTCGGCCTCGGGTCCGCTAGCTCCTGGGAGCGCGTAACAGAAATTTATCACGCTCGTTAAGCGTAGAAAAACTTTCGAAAGAAACTTTCGCGACGTAATTGCTCGGGCTATTCTCGAAGCGTTTTCTAAAACAAACGCTGCTGCAGGTCACTTGAAGACTTTCCGAACAAACACAGGAAATGATTCCACGCGTGACTAGCAGCGACAATTGTTCTCGAGACAGTCAACACGATTTAGCAAATTATTCTCCGATCGTAGAATTTCTAGGAAGTTTTGATCTGCTTTGATACTGTCGCCTTATTTCTTGAATCACCAACAGCGTCTTTCTAGACACTTTCGATGTCTTTTTAAAGGCAGGTTTCGATTACAAAGGGTGTGAGTGCGAAGATCCTTATAACGTACACATTTAACATTGCGTTTGAACATGTAGCAACGTAAAAAGAGGGTGTAATTGAGCTAGAAAGTCGTTGCGTGATTCTCTTTCACGAATTACCATCTATCTAGACGTCTGAGCAAGTTTCTCGTAGAAGAGTGACTTGCCTAAGAAGTGTTGAAATAGTTTGAAGTAGTTTATTCGATTCAAAATATGCTAGCCTTCTGGCTAGCCTTCTATATCGTGATAGGCTCAAGATAAGATATTTTTCTTATTTACTTCCACGAAAAAAAGAAAGAAAAAATTAAAGAATATCAAGTAATAGTTGTTATCGTTAGTACGAACTTGTGTCATAGACTATTTCAAATACATTTCAGCCGATAGATACATTCGCCTATATTCGATGAATTTTTCGTGCCTCCTTAAATTCCACTTGTTCCATGATAATTGAATTCGTAAGAAATCTGTTGAAGCCTGGAACGGATACAAGAAAAAGCGTTCGTTTGTCGAGTCACTAGAATAGGGCGAAGCAAGCAACGCGATTTCACGGCGATCGAGATTAATCGACGCGGAGAAACGTGGGTGGAGGTGGATGGAGCTTGAAAGAGACACGACAGTAAGAAAGTGGGAGGACGTTTCTCTGCGAAGTGAAAAAAGTAGGAAGAAAACTCAATTAATCGAGACTCTCGGCGAAGGACTCCGGTTCTATCGATAAAAGTCCGTGGAAAGGCATGGAGATAGAAAGACAGAGGTATCGAAGTTTCTATCCCTCCCCTTGTCTTTTCTCGTAGCGGCGTCCGAGAAACTTTTTGAAAGGTCCACGATCTGCTCATAATTTATGCACTTAAACTAGAACTGTACGAAGCTTCGTGCAATTCTTAATGGGTCGAGTTTACGAGGACGCGATTCGTGAAACCGTGAAGATGGAATCAAACGGCGAAATAAGACGAACGTCCTTCTGTATTTAACATTCCTCGCGGAAATTCATGGATTCACGAAAGATCAAAGCAAGTATGGAATAAAAACCGCGGAACTTGTTATAAAATTATCCGAAGGGAAAAATAAACGAGCGAATGCTCTTCTTCTCCGTCTGTCGAATAACGAACTCGCGCTATTTCCCTGTGATTTTTTAAATCTCCGCCGTATCGGTTAAAAGTACTGCGTGAAATCGAGAAAGAGCGAACGCAAAGAGCAAAAATACATTGATGTGTCGGGCGATAACAAATACCCTTGAACAACAACCGTGAAAGCGTATAGAGTCGCGATAAAGTTTCAGCCATTATTTTTTGAAGCTTCGTTGGCGAGTTTCATATTCGTAGGAACGATTACAATGTCCGGCTTTGGAAATTTTCGACGATTCGATATCGGGTTCGTCGTGGAGAGACAGTCGGATTCATCGTGTCACGCTCACATCTCCGTCGTTCTATTTTGCTCGCGATTTTCGCAAGGATTCACGTCATACCGAGAAATAAAACTCGTCCACCGTTCATCCGGATTACTCGAGCTATAGTCGGAGAATCCTCGGAACTGTACCGTTGCCCGGTATTACCGAGCGCGAAAAAATGGCATTAGTCGTTTCCGGCATCGCGATAGCTTCCGTTTCGCACTGTTTCCGTATCGTTCGGCTATCTTCGTTCTCAATTTCTGTATATCGATATTCCCGCGCCATAAATCAATCATCGGAGCCTAGAGATTCCACAACTGTATCCTTTGGGAACGGAGGTCGCGGCGCTGCCGTCATGAGATTTATTTCCAAGTAGCTTAGAACGACATTCTCACTAGGAAGGCTCAAAGTGCGTTATCCTGCAGAAATAAGTTTACTTTAGAGTTTGGCCTAAAGTGTCCGTAGCTTTAGGTCTGTTTTAAGAGGATTTATTCAGGTTTATGGACACGCTTATGTGTTGACGTGTGTCCGTGTGAATGTGTATGCACGAATAAGCACGCGTTTAAGTGAAAGTTGAGTACGCGTTGTATGACGGAGAGTTCCTGCAAACTAACTTGAAAAATGAACACTTACGCGCTGTAAAGATTACGGTTCTACATCCTCGTGCTTGTCCCTGTGTTTCGTGTCGAATTTAATTACAATAGGACCGTCGTTTTATTTAATTATATCAATTTCTATGCGCGTTTCAAATAATTGTGAACGCAATTTCGTTGACAAGTCGATCGCTAGTCGTCGGCGTGCTTTTGAGTCTAATTGAGGATACTACTGTTGGATGTTTACGCCGAGTTGCATGCACATTTCGCCAGCACTTTAATCCGATTAACGACCCACGGAAAGTGATTTAATCTGACAGATTGCACGGTAAACCTTTGTACTCGTAATCGGATCGCGCCAATTACACTATGAACTTGAAATTCCATTAGATGATCATGCGCTGCCGGACAAAATCCAGGTCACCGGATTACACCCCTAAACGAGGTTTTAAATCGTATCAATGATGGCACGGCCGACCATACAGGTCACTGATCTTTCTAGCTAGTGGCCTCTCTAGAGAGACAGCCAAGGCTTTTTTTACATGTCGTTCCATTACACCGGAACGCACACCGGAGTCTCGACTGTTTCGATAGGAGAGAAAAATATTGCTTGCCCCGGTTTATATAGGGACGCGAACGTGTTGGTTAATGTGTGTCAATGCGCCTCTGCTCATTTATAGCTCGATCGCGTAAACTATCAAATCACCGAGCCGTGTCGTGGCAGGCGGCCACTCTCTTTAGACCAACGATAAAAGGTAACAACGTAAACGTGCTCACCGGCTGCCGGTGTAAGATAAACCACATCCTCATCCCTGACCTCATTTATTAATATTTAACGCGAACCATTCGCGGTCGCGTTTTTACACCAAAACGTTTCATATTGACGTCGTAACTCTTTCAATCTAAACTTCTCCAGCCATCATCCTCTTTCTCTTCTACCTTTCCTCCTACCTACCTCTGTCTAGCTCGACACGAGTGTACGACTCTTTTCTCGATCACCTTCTTTATCCATCTCCGTTCTTCTTCTGGATCGACGTAGAATTGGGGATTTTATCGTGACGCTGTATTAACGAACTTCGACGAGCAAAGAACGGGCGCGGATTTAACGGGTTCGCCCAGATCAGAACGGCTATTCTCGTTCGGCAAAAGAAATTTAATATCGTTCCTACTCACGCCTTAGATCGATGAATTTCGATGGTTCGGATATCTCCTCGAGTTCATGTTGTTTCGGTTACTTTATCAGGCTTATCTGGAGTAAACAACCACCGATCATCGTATTTTTGATAAATCCAATAAACTTTTAAGCCGGAAACGTACACTTCCACGCCTCTAAAGCCGAGACAGTCGATTGCAATTTTTGTACGTACTGTCAGTTTTACGTTTGTGTTGTAACGACGAGGGATGAACGCGAGCGGAGATGGCTAGCCTTTATCAGATAGGAGATAGAGCTATCGTTCAACGATTTTCTCATAAATTTGTATTAGTTTTGATTGCCAGAGTTATCGATTGTTTTTTATCGAGCATGACTTGCCCAATAAAAATGGCATATTTATATATAGAGTAAGCTTATTTTTGTCTGACTACGTTTCTTTTCAGTGTTTATTGCGTATATTGATGATATTGATATGATAAATAATTGAGGCGCAACGCAACGCAAATTACATTTTCCTGTAACAACAAACACTCGTATTAGAAGCTAGTCCCACTCCCCAAGTAAAGAATGTGCTTGAAGAAATTGATAGGTAATTTAGAAACCGTGGTGAATGAAGACTGATGAAAATGAGAGTTATCGTAACGCTCTTTTAACCGTGCCCTTTTCCTAGCACGTGAATGTATCCCTAATGACAACCTTCGTGTTTTGTCGTAACTATCTTCCATAGCATGAAAGCGGATATTTTTGTTATAACTTGCGGCAAGTTTATTTTACAATTTCCGCAAACCAGCCTCCAATAAAGCATCGGAGATTAACGTTTGAATAATTCATACAATTTTCATACGATTCCATATCGTGTCAAAAAAGCGGCGGGAAAATATTACGATTGAAATCAAGATATTTATATTACATGTTGTCCATTGGTTTCGAAAAACAAAATACCTCGTTTCCATGTCGCGTCATTCTTTCTCTCGCAGCATCGGTAAAGCGCTTTTCGATGTCTCGTTGCCTTCACGGCTTTGTATGTTTCATTCACATCGCCGATAGGAATTAACTCGTATTACCACGGTCAATCCTAGATAGACGGCGACGTGTATCGATTTTTTTCGCGGTCCAGCAAAGTGTTTAACAATTCAATCGGTGAAACTGCACAAAGATACACGCGGCATTCTATCCGACCAGTGATTTACCGGATGGTAATATAAGAGGATTGATGTTCCCTTTCGAATCACTTTCGGCTCGCCACCGTACATGGAGTACGCACAGTAGCTATCAATTATAAACGTTTGATTTTTCCAGCTCGCTCTTCAATTATAGTTGCCTGCGTCAACGTGACTGATTGCGTTTGTGCTGACAAAAAGCGGCATGACGGAGGGGTGTGGAAAAGGAGTGGTTGTGGACGTACATGGAGAAAAAAAGAACGAAATAGGCCAGCGATCGCGTCCCAATAAATATCGTGGCCCCATGTCGAACCGCGCCCACTTCAAATACTTTAATTACTTCACCTATAAGCCTCGTTCATCATCGTTAGCCGACGCGTTCGACCTGAAGCCATTAGTGTCGGTTAACCTTTCGGCTCAATTTTTTTTTTCTCCTTCGCTAGCCGACCACGAATGTAGTTCGTTTGTCTTCCATGATCGCCGGCGGTCGTGTGCAACAAACGTTTCTGATGGCTCGGATTGATACGATGGCGCACGATAAATCTCGTCGATATAGAGCTATAAAAATTGGTCACGGGGCGGAGCTCGATGTACTGTGAACTGGCGAGTCGTTTTTCTTTCGGATGAAAGTATGTTTAATAGACAGTGGAACGACGATTTACAGGATTTACACGGATCGAAAGAGGAATCAGCTAGTTTTTCCATAATCGAATCTCGCTGACGTCGATTTATTTATCCGCGAGATTGCTACACGACAAGGGATGGGATAGGGCTGGAATAGAGAGGAAGGGGATCGTTTTCCATTTCTGCTCCCTCCGTGTCCATCGCCCTCTTTTAAATTTTAGAAGCGAGCGCAGGGCGTCGTTTATTATTTGCCCGAAGAACAAAGGGATCAAGGGGCCTGTGACTTTTTATTTCGCTTACTCCTCGCTCTTCCCTTTTTCGTGTCTCGAATCTTCTTTCTTCAAGGACCCGTGAGAAGCATCGCACCGAAAACGGACGTTAATAACGACGCCTTTGCCCCTCGACCCGTATCGCGATGTAGACACTCGCGTCACGTGACTTCGTAGATAAAACTACAAGGGTGACAGGGGGATGATAATAACGAACAGTGCGTTCCTTCATTTTTTTTCTTCCCGAAGTGTTTACATACTGTTTTCTTTTGTCCTACCGTAGGTATGGGCTCAGAGTGGATCCGTGGGAATGGTTCCTGTTCTTCAGCGGCAAATACGAAGGTGGCGAAGAGCATCCGTCGATTCTACTCATCATTTGTAAGTCGATCGATAATCTCTAACGGTGAAATTCTTGAAACAGAAAATTACGAAGCACGCGAGATGCTTGTACCTTTATAGATAAAGATCAAACAGGAAATATTAGACTACACATTATATACAATTATCAGACACGCAAAAATTGCAATGTACGCGCTCAGGAAAATTCCTCGTATTTCTGCCGTCATATTTTACTCGACTTTTCTCGAAAGCGCGAAAATAGAAACGTACTACGTAAAAGTGAGGCGGTGTAAAAAGATAATATGTGTCGAGAACGCGAGCAAAAACTGCTAATTTAAATGTAAAAGTAATTAGCGTGTGACTCGTCCGTGCGGATCTACGTTGGACATGCGGGTTGAGAAGATAACAAAAATAACTGTTGTATAAGAATTTTGACCGAAACGTTTACAGAGAATTGAAACGATACCATATTTATTGTAAGTAAAAGGATTCTGGACAATTTCAACTGAGATTACGGTTCTATATTCTGTTGTTCCAAAATCAAACTCGTATCAAGACCAAATTTAAACTAGAATCAAAAGTTCAAACCAAACTGAATCGATGTAACAACTGGTAAACAATTGGTTTCGTACGATAGTATGTCTGCTATGAACTCGTACAATTGCCTAGCAAATTTCAAAGACCTGCTTGACTATAATTTTCAAAAGCATGTTTCAACGCGTCCCGCGTTTATCGTAACGCGTCAGTCGAAAGCCAAGGTGGCCACAAGGGTCTGGTTCGTAGACAAACTGGCCATCCGAGGCAGTGATCCTGGCTGAATTCAAATTTATCACTGAAAGGACGACCCTTTATATCGTCGTTTAAAGCTTGACTTAAAAGGCACGAAATTTAGCGCGGCAAAGTGGCGGTACGCGTAAATTTCGATGCTCTACCAAGCCCGCTTTTGGAATTGCCAACCGCTGCCTGCGCATTGTCCTTTTACTACCGTGCGATGCAGTCGGTTATCCACGTTTTCAACTGGAACCACGACATTCGCTCCCAGTGCGAGTACATGGAGTCGTGAATGTTTGGTTTCTACCTTTGGTTGAGCTGTGGAGAGTCCGGCTAACCCGACTGAATTTACGCGCGAAGAGGCGAATTTTCACGACGTACGCCGTTAAGAATATTTTTTGTAAGATACCGACAAATTTCTCTTCTGACGTAGCGTTCGAAAGTAATTGTTTTAAATGACGATCTGATATTTACAAAATGTTCCGAGTGATTTGTTCTTAAACATTTTCACCCCCGTCGGATGTTGCCCGTGGGTTCAGCTTGGTAATTTATTAACAACCTGTACGTTGTCATTAATTCTCGCGTTGCACAACAGTCGGTCACGTGGAATTTGCACGGCGTGTCGACTCACTCGATTAACGGGTACAATGTTTCAAATATTCGGCCAGTTACAGAGTTAGCTACGCCTAGAATATCAGGACTAACACAACAAGTAGCCAACGCAATGAAATGACCTACTAAAACCGGCCTCTTGAGCCTCTTGATCAATTTGTCGATACTCCGCAACTCTCAAGGCTAATTATCCTCACGATTAGATAGCGAAATTAATTTCTCCCTGGGAAACTTTCTCTCTGTGTAACGCTTTTACAAAGAACCTCCGGCGTCTGATTTTGGAGAAGGGGGCCTGGATGCTTCGGAAACACCTCGTGAATATGCGTTTAAACTCTCGTTCCGCAGCTGCGCCGGCGGGTTGTACGGCCGCGTGCAAGCCTGCAGATTACACGTACAGGGTCACAGGTACGGGGTTAGAGAGGCTGCAAGGTAACAACGGGGAAAGAGGAAGGGGAAGAGGGAAGAAGCGGAGATCCGGGGGAGGTAGCTTGCATTATTTACACATGAGGGAAGGTAATGCTCATAGGGAACTACGGTTAATAGCTCTCATATTTTAGAATTTTCGTCGTGGCAGCCCTTCTTTCCTTACTGCAGAGCCTTAACATCCTTTCCTTTCTTTTTCCTTCTTCCTCTTTTTATAGTCTAGCTCGTTCGTTGAAGCGAATACAGCCCTCCGGCGTGTTGCCTTCTCTATCCGGTGGCCGTGGGTCTCGCATAATAATTTTCACGGCTCCTGTACGGCCTGGCTGCCGAGATTGCTTTTTAAACGGCGCCCTGGCAGGACCTCCCTGAGTTCGCGGCTCGCTCTTTCGCGATTAGGGGATTAATTATTCCATGGACGTCATGAAGCGCGAATTATACCGTTTAAACGGCTGACCTCCGTGATTTATTCTCGGTTTCTACGTTGATTAGCCGTCCGACACACTTCTCCCGTCAGGTTGCTAGCTGTTTTTTCGCCAGTTTTAATTAATCTTTTCGAAGTTTGAATAATAGAGGACCAAAGAGGTTGACAGCTTTACGAGACCCGGTGAATTTTCATTGCTTAACGTGCCGTTGGCGCTTGGTCGCCACTCGCATTCTGATATCATTTTCAACGGAATTGTTTCGTTGATCCGACAGAATGACTGCCATCTGATAGGCCACGGGGAAATGTATTTTTCATACGCGCACGCCAAGCGTTAATTGCATACTTTACAGGGGCGCGCGCCC